GTTCTTCCTTTTTGGTTTTCTGATTCCAAATCTTTGCACATTTTATTATAATATTTGGCTTTATCTTCTCGAGCTGATCTTTGAAATTTTCTGTTCAGCTCTTGGACCTCCTCATTTCTTCCATTAGCTTTAGCATCTCTACACTGGAAAGCAAGTTTCAGAGTCTCTTCTAACATCCATTTTGACCTTTTCCTTCTTTCCAGTGATTGTAGCCAATGTAATAAGACAATAAAAAGAAATATGTTACGTAAGTATCCAAAAGAAAGAAACCCAGGCTGGAAAGCCGCATAACTCTTACTTGCTAAGAGGATAACATCCTAAAAAAGTCAGTGTTTAATGGCAAATGACACCTCCAATTAAATGAACACCTATCTATGGTAGTTCCTGTTGACACTTTTATGTGCATCAATTCATAACAAAGCTATGAGTGGAGACTGAAAGTCAGAGAGGTTAAGCAATCTGCCCAAGGTCACACAGTGAGTCACTACTAGTACAGTCATGTCAGCCTGATTCCTACCTGTATCCTGTCCTTCCTTATAAAATGCTCTGTGATGGAAGCTTATTAAAACAAACCCACGGCCTTTGCTTTACAAACTAAAGGGCCCGTTGTATTTCAGGCATATGGCCACTTAATTTCTGTTAAAGTTCTCTGCTCTTGTAGCCTGAATGTAGTCAGAAACAAATGAGTGTTGTTGTCCCACCAGTGAAACCTATTATCAAAACGTTGTTAGCACTTGTGATTTTATAAGGATGTTTCTTTTTTTTTTAGTTTCAAATTGGTCTTTAGGGAGCTACAGCTGTAGTTCCCAAATACTTTTTATAAGAGGTTATCACACAGTTTTAATTTGGTCCTGCCCAATTTACAAAGATTTCAAAATAATACTGTTGATTTTAAGAAGTGAATTATACAAGATTGCCGGGGGGTGGGGGTGGGGGTGGAGAAGGTCCTATATCCAGAGTATTCCACCAATTTGTGTGTGGTGGTGGTGATGTGATTATATGCCATGGTGTCGGTTCCAGCTCAGAGTGACACTCTATAGGATTTCCAAGGCTGTAAATCTTTATGGGAACAGAAAGCCTCATCTTTCTCCTGTCGAACCGCTGGTAGTTTTGAACTACTGACGGTGGTATTAGCAGCCCAACTCCTAACCACTACACTACCAAAGCACCTTAGTTTGTGTGTAGTTACAGTCTCAGAAAACCTATATAGTGTCACTATGAGTTGGTTCAATGGCAGTTGACTGGTTTAAACCCTGCTTTAGAGGGAATGAGGAACTGAAATTTGGAGGTCCCTGAGGCAGCGGCATAAACCAAGTCCAGAGCAGAAGGGAGAAGATACATAGGCCACAGTGGCCTTCTCTAGACATCCAAAGGGTATGTTTAGTCAGACTGCTTTCTTGACACTAGTAATTTCAATTCCTGGTGGTCTCATGTATGCACAGTCCATAGGGTTTTCAAGGCTGTTACGTTTCAGAAGGTGGTCTCTAGGCCTGTCATCTTAGGGACCTTTGGATGGATTTGAACCACCAACCTTTCAGGTAGTAGTCAAGTAGTTAATCAGAAACACTTAATAACATGTAATTCTTATGCTGTTTGGGGCCATGGCTGTTTACCGTTGAGTTGGTTCCCACTCATAGCAACCCTGCATAGGGCTTCTGAGGCTGTAAATCTTTACAGGAGAAAACTTCATTTTTCTCCCACGGAGCAGCTGGTGGGCTCGAACCACGAACCCTGTGGTTTGCAGTCCCGTACTTATCCTACAGACAGAGCCTGTGCTTGGCTGTCCAGTACGTACCCAACAGACCCTTTTAGATTCATGGAGCATTTGAAAATCAGATGAAAGTTCTGGATTCAGATCCTTTCTCCAGAAAAATCTGCCCTCAACACACCCATAATCTCACAAATTTTGGACATCTCAGATGCCCCACCTCATCAGGTGTCCATAGACCTTAGGGAAAGAGTCTTGGCCTTCAAGGATTCACCTCCTGGATGAGGGGAGGGCATTAACTCCCTCTTTGTCAGTCCTGCTGACTTTTAACCCCTCCCACTTCCTGCCTGGGCAGTGTCTCCTTCTGCACGTTCCTGGCGCACGAATACCCAGACCTGGTGCACAAGGTGATCATGATCAACGGCGGGGGACCTACAGCGCTGGAGCCCAGCTTCTGCTCCATCTTCAACATGCCCACGTGTGTCCTGCATTGTCTGTCCCCCTGCCTGGCCTGGAGCTTCCTCAAGTAAGTGTCCCCACCCCAAGACAGGGACTCTGGCCTTGGCACCTCCAGGAGCCAGGTGGAAGGGAAGGTTGTCTGCTAGAGCTGGGGCTGGTGGAGCTTGCACGGGGTTCTCTAACCCTGTTTTCCTGGCCAGGGCTGGCTTCGCTCGCCAAGGGGCCAAGGAAAAGCAGCTGCTGAAAGAGGGTAACGCATTCAACGTGTCGTCATTTGTGCTGCGCGCCATGATGAGTGGGCAGTACTGGCCTGAAGGAGACGAGGTGTACCACGCTGAACTCACCGTGCCAGTCCTGCTTGTCCATGGCATGCATGACAAGTTTGTGCCAGTGGAGGAGGACCAGCGCATGGCCGAGGTAAGGGGCAGGGCTGGATAGGGGCAGAGACTGCTGAGGGCGTGAGCAGACCAGGGATTGGGCTTCAGCATGTTCCACCTTTACTTTCTGTTAAATGCCATTCAAATTGGTTCCTACTCTTAGAGACCCTGTATAGGGTTTCTGAGGAGCAGCTGGTGAGTTTGAACCACTGACCTTGTGGTTCAAACCGACATTGCAGTTTAGTGCTTATCTTACAGCGCAGGCTTAGGGAAACGAAAATATTAGTCAATTGCAAAAGAATAGCTCAGATGCGCTGCTATCCTGGAAGATATTAAGGCCCCGCCCATCCCCACCACTGCCTCTCAACGGGCTGAAAGCTCTGTGCACAGGATCTGTACAGTGGGTTTGTGGGAGCCTGAGGGGTTGTGTGGTTCTGAGAGAGCAGGGCCAGGAACTTAAGACATTAAAGACGTCCAGAAAATGGACTTGGGACCCTTAGCATTTTTAGTATCGCCCCGCAGGAAACAATGAGCAACTTCTGGGGACATTTTTGGTTAATGACTTGGGGAAGTTAACTACTGGCATCTAGTAGTAGGTGGAGACCAAAGTGGCCCCCATCACAGAGAATAACCCAGTACCAAATGTCAGCAGTGCCGAGGTGGGAAACTACTGGGCACACACTGGAGACATTTCATGGATACTGGATGATTAATGGATACAGCTTCATCAGGGTGACAAGCCATCTTCTGGCTCCCATTGGGTGGAAGTGTAGGATAAAGGGGGGATGGCATGAAGGACTTCCTGGTGTTTTTTTTTTTTCAGTTGAGGAGTCTCGGAATATGCATTCTCTGACTCTTCACTGGGTGGAGTGGGAAGGATGAAAGGTAGACTGCAGGAGGGACTTTTCTGTGCTGAAGGCAAGGCATGGATGATGTGGGAAGCCCAGAGAGACTGCTGCTCAGGGCCCTGAGGTGGAGGGGTTCCGGCGGCCTGCCCCGTCCCGCTCATTGCCCTTGTACCTGAGCAGATCCTGCTTCTGGCCTTCCTGAAGCTTATCGAAGAGGGTAGCCACATGGTGATGCTCGAGTGCCCAGAGACCGTGAACACGCTACTCCACGAGTTTCTGCTGTGGGAGCCCGAGCCCACTCCGCAGGCCCTGCCCGCATCCCAGGAGGAGAAAAAGTAGTGACGGTGACAGGCATCACTTGGTGAACTGAAGAGCTGGAGAAGCTGTGGTCAGAGCCATTTCTGCAATGAGGCCACCCGGGTAGCCATTCGCCCCGCCCCATGGGCGGGGCCAGGCCAGGGAGACGCCCCCAGGACAGGCAAGGGGAGCCAGAGGGACGCCCCATCTGCTTGCGTTCTGTGGACCCATACTATATGGGTGCTGCTGCCAGAAACCTGCCGAGATAACCTTGTACAAAAGTCCCCTACACCCCGTACCACGGGCCAAGCTGACCCCAACCCCGCTCTCTGTCTTCGTGTCAGCGTGCTTTATCCTGAGCCCCGTAGGGACCCTCGGGTGCTTCCTTCCCCAAGACCTCTCCCCGAGCCCCTCCACTTTCTGCGGCACAATCCTGGGAGGTATTGTTGCCCAAGGTAGTTGGACGCCATAGAACCTGCACATTTCAACTTACAACTCAATAAAAAGAAATGACAATTGGGGTCTTTGAAACCGTGTTGGGGACCCTAGGGAAGAGTTTTCAGTTTCCCCATCTGCAGATGTTGGTGCGGATATCTGTGGTCCAGGATTGCTTCACAAGTGTACCCCTATTCCCAGAATTCAGGGGCTACTTGGGCATTATTCCTGTAGAGTGAGGCAGCCAATCAGGGAGTGAGCTTTGTCCTTGGTGGAGAAGAGGAGATCTGGTTGAGGTGCACAGGGAGGTGTAAGGATGGGTGGACATTGCCAGGGACTGCTATTAGCTGCCATTGGGTCACCTGGTGTAGGAGGAGCCCATGTATAACAGAATGCAATACTGTCTAATCTTGTACCATTCCCATCCATGATCAATCACAGAGCACAGTTGCGAAACATAGGATTTTCACTGGCTGATTTTCCGGAAGCAGATTGCTTGGCCTACTTCTTTTATTCCTTTTAGTCTAGAAACTCCACTGAAATCTGTTCTGCATCATAGCAAAAAGCAAGCCTCCACAGACAAATGGGTTGATGCTGGCTGTTGTTGAGTTAGTTCCGACTTACAGTGACCCTATTTACAAAAGACCAAAACCCTGCCTGGTCCTGAGACACCCTCACAATTATTGCTGTTTGCATCTATTGGGTCAGCCACTTGGTAAATCTATACTTCTGTGTTTACAACTACCAACCCCCCAAAAAACCTAACATGTTGCCATTGAGTCTAATCCAATTCAAGGAGACTCCAAGTGTTAAGAGTAGAACTGCTCCATAGTTTTCTTGGCTGTACAAGGAGTCCTGATAACGTCATGGATTAGGAGCTGGGCTGCTAACCACAAGGTCAGAAGTTCGAAACTACCAGCCATTCTGCAGGAGAAAGATGAGACTTTCTGCTCCTGTAATGGTTTACAGCCTCGGAAACCCTATGCTGGGTCGCTGAGTCGGAACCAACTCCACAGCATACCACCACCACCACATACTTTACCAGGGAGTCCTGGTGTGGCACCAGAGGATAAGCACTCCACCTCAAGGTTGGTTTGAACTAAAAGGCCAGTGGTTCAAACTCACCAGCCACTCCTCGGAAACCCTACACAGAGTTGCTATAAGTTAGGACCAACTCGATGGCACTTACCAACATACTTTACCAGGAGTCCTGGTGTGACACTGCAGGATAATGCACTGGACCACAAAGTTGACGGTTCAAATCCACCAGTTGCTCCTCGAAAACCCTAGACAGGGCTGCTATGAGTCAGAACTGACTCGATGGCACTTAACAACAACAACGAAACAACATTCTTTACCAAGCATGATGTCTTCCAGGAACTGGTCCCTCCTGATAATATGTCCAAAGTATGTGAGACAAGTCTCGCCATCCTTCCTTTTAAGGAACATTTTGTCTATACTTTTAAGAGAATTTTTCATTCTTCTGGCAGTTCAGAATATAATCAATATTATTTGCCAACACCATAATTCAAAGGCATCAATTATTCAATTTTCCTTATTCATTAGAGGTCTTGGTGTGGTGGAGCCCTGGTTATAAGTTGGACTGCTAACCACAAAGTTGGCAATTTGAATCTAGCAGCCATTCTGCAGGAGAAAGATGAAGCTTTTTGCTCCTGAAAAGATGTACAGGGTCACTCCAAGTCACAACTGACTGGATAGTACACAACCATCACCATTTTATTCATGATCCCAGCTTTTGCATGCCTATGAGGTGATTGAAAATACCATGCTTGAGCCGAGTGCACCTTAGTCCTCAAAGTGGCATCTTTGTTTTTAAACACTTTAAAGAGGTCTTCTACAGATTTGAACAATGTAATCACGTCATTTGATTTCATGATTGCTGTTTCCATGAGAGTAAGTGTTATTGTGGGTCCCATTAAAATGAAACTCTGGAGAACTTCAGTCTTTTCTCTGCTCATCATGATGATGCTTATAAGTCCAGTTATGAGACATGTGTTTTTCTTTGTTGATGAATACTCCATACCGAAGACTGTAATCTTTGTTAATGAATACTCCATATTGAAGACTATAATCTTTAATCTTCATGAGCAAGTGCTTCAAGACTCCTTTGCTTCCAGCAAGTAAGGTGGTGTCACCTGCATATCACAAGTTTTTCATGAGTTTTCCTCCAATCCTGCTACTGCATTTTTCTTCATATAGTCCAGTTTCTCAGATTATTTGCTCAGCATTTTGTTGTTCAGTGTTGTCAAATTGGTTCCAATTCACAGTGACCCTCTATAGGGTTTCCTAGGCTTTAAATCTTTGTGGGTACAGAAAGCCTCAGCTTTCTTTCTCAATTTGCTTTGCATACAGACAATAAACCTGGCAAAAAGATAAAACCCAAATGCACACCTTTCCTTATTTTAAACCTTGCAGTATCCTCTTGTTCTGTTCCAACAACTTCTCTTGATCTATGTATACGTTCTGTCAGAGCACAATTAAGTGTTCTGGAATGCCAGTTCTTTACAATGTTATCCATAATTTATTATGATCCACAGTCGAATGTCTTTGTATACAGAGGTGAACATCTTTCTGGTATTCTCTGCTTTCAAGATCCAGCCATCCTACTCCAGCAGTGCCATTCCTCATTGCAAGTGTTCTTCTGAATCCAACTTGGATTTCTGGAAGGTCCCTATGGCTGTACTGCTGGAACCATTTAAAACTTATCGTCAGTAACGTTTTGCTTGCATGTGAAAATATTATTTGTTAAGTTCTACATTTTGTTGGATCACCTTTCTTTAGAATCGGCACAAATAGGGATCTCTTCCTGTCAGTTGGGTGGGTAACTGTCTTCCAAATATCTTTGCATAGACAAGAGCTTCCTGTGTTGTGTCTTGTTGAAACATCTCAGATGGTACTGTTAATTCCTGAAGCCTTGTTTTTCACCAGTGCCTGCAGAGCAGCCAATTCTTCCTTTGGTATCATCAGTTCTTGATTATATGCTACCTCTTGAAATGGTTGAATATCAGCCATTTCTTTTTGGTACAGTGATGCATTCTGCTTTCTCCATCAGTCAACATTTGTCCTATGTTGTTGTTGTTAGGTGCCATCGAGTCGGTACTGATTCATAGTGACCTTATGCACAGCAGAACGAAACACTGCCTGATCCTGGGACAACCTCACTACTGTTGCCACGCTTGAGTCCATCGATGCTGCCACTTGGCCAATCTATCTCGTTGGGGGTCTTCCTCTTTTTCTCTGATCTCCACCTTACCAAACATGATATCCTTCTCCAGTCACTGGTCCCTCCTGACAATA